CATTTCTCCCACATGTCTTTTAAATTCACAGTCACAGTGACAACGGGGGGTTCGAGTAAGTCAGTGTGTAGTGCGAGCCACCCCAAATGCCTTCGGAGAACAGGAGGTTTGAGAATGGTTTGGAGAAATCATGAGCTTAAAGGCGTTTTGCTCATGTTTCTGGGCCTGCTAGTTCCTGAATCAGTTTAATAAATATTTCTACCTTTCTTATGATTTTTTTCTTTTCTAGTGTAAAAAGTGGACAAATAAGAAATCTTGAATCTGCCAGAGTTTCTATGGTCGGTCAAGTCAAACAGTAGGTGGTTTTGTTTTTTTTTAAAGCTCTTAAAATCAGCTTGTTTGTTGTACAATAGCGTTACTGCAAAGCATAAATGCACTTGAAGGGGAAAATTTCTTCTATCAAATACAAATTTCTTATTATTTGATCACTATTGATACTGGCAGCAGCACTGAATCATAATGATGGCATTTGGAGCAAACCTGGCCAAAATTTCCAAGGGGTAAAATCCGACAAGATAATAAGTGTTAGTCCAATGCCACCTCAAAAATTTTGCCCTAAATCATGTTAGCCTTCTCGATGTGATATCTTTCACTTCCTTTTAGAAACGGTTTAATTTTCTGTTGCATTTTGGGAGTGATCTGAGGTGGGTTTGGGGGGGATCAGAGTAACCTGCTTGTGCTGCTCTCATCCTTGACGTACCTGGAGCTTTTACAAATGTCTCATACTCCATTGAGAAAAGCTGTTGTTGATTATTTGACCACTTCTACCTCCTCTAAGTAGCTGTTAGCATTTATATTTGCTGAACACTTTAGGTTAAAACCTTTTTTTCTTTTTCTTTTTTTTTCTTTTCAGGAAATCATTTTCTGGTTTTATTTTCCCAGGTGTGAAGGGGCTGCCAGTCCTGAAGGTCCTAAAGCCATAGTGGAGGGTATTATTGAAGAAGAGGAGGAGGAAGAAGAGGATGAGGAAGGGGGAGGCTCTGTCAACAAAAGGAAGAAAGAAGATGACACAGAGGTAGGGAATTTCTTGTGTTTGCACGATGTTTCCCTGCAAGAGTGACTGCCAGTAATTATCCAAATCATTCTAAAAGAAAAAAGGAACAACTCTGGGGACTGAAAACTTTATATTGTGACTGTTTTTTGGGTTTTTTTTCTTATTTGTCTCGTGCCACTGATTCTATCTTGGACTGTTACCTGAAAGGGTGTGTCTGGTTTTGTTTCCTGAGATGCTCACAGATTTCACACATTTGACCTGAAATGGGGCTTGTGGCATGAAAGAGGAATGCTCTTTTCTGAGACTTCGTGGTATTTTTGTTCCATTTCCAAGGCACAGTCGTGTCCAGAAGGTCTTACAGGGAATTGCAGCCTAAGAACGGAAATTCCTGGAGGAAAATCGTTGTAGCCAGCTTAGCCCCTTGCATTTCTGTGTCACCTGAGAGCCAAGTCTGAACATTCAGACAATTTGGGAGCTACTTGTGCCAGTGAAAAAATAGCTAATCGAGCACCCTGAACACCGCAGCCTTCTCTTGATTTATAGGTGTTTGCTCCTGCTGACTTTCTTGTTTCCTACTTGTGTACTTTGGCTGTGATTTGGGGAAAAAATTTAGGAGCAAGGAGGGTCATCCCCGGGAGGTGTGTAATCCACCAGAGGGAGCCAGTATTTTA